CACTGATCCTGGTGCCCCTCCCTCCACCGGCCTGCCAATCACTTTGGCTGTCAATTCCAGCTCTTCAGCTGGTATATCTGCAGGCCTGGCTTCCCACCCAGCTTCTGACACTGTCACCCCCATGGACATCACTCCAGCTCCCCAGCCTGTCCTCCTGGGGTCAGGCCCTGGCTCTAGTGGGAGCATCTTCCCAGGCCCTTCAGATGTCCCCCAGTGACAGCACAGCCTCAGTCACTACTAGCCTGTCTGCACTGAGGTTCTGCAGCCTCACCCCAACTCCCAAACTTCCCATGAACCCTGGAGCCACTGCCCAGCCCGTATCTGGGACCCATGATGCACAGCAGCACGGAGCCACCGCCTTACACAGCTCTCTCCAGGATGGATCTCTGGCAGCTTCAGCCCCAGCCTAGGCCCCAATCTCTGCTCCAGGTCAGCCAGCCTTGGGCAGCACCACCCGGGCAGCCTTTGGGGGGGCATTACCCACACCTTCCATCTTGGGCACCCATACCAGCACCTGGCCAGCCTTTGCTGCCACCCCAGCTGTATTCCCCCCTGGCACAGCCCACGCCTCTAGCTTTGCAGCTGCCTCCTAAATATGGAGCACTATGACCAATACTGGGCCCAGCATCAGGCAGCCACAGTCACCATTTGGCAGGACAAGCTGAGTGCCCTTCAGGCTGCAGGTCTTAGCAGCACCCAAGGGCTTTGGGAGCAATAACGCTGTGTCAGATCTGACCCATTCCTTTAGAGCACTCAGCATGACAGCACAGACGACTGGGGCCCCAAGCACCACACACCGCTATGGGGGCAGCTTGGGCCCAAACACCTGGGGTCCCCCTCCCCAGAGCACTCCCATGGTGACCACAGGACCCAGCACCAGGAAGAACGCTGGGTTTGGAGGCACTACTGCCCCTTCCTCAAGTCACATCCCTGGGGGCCCACCCGGGAAAAGACACCTTACTTCCAGCTGAGGGCCCAACACCACCCCCAGCAAGGCACCTTTAGGGGTGCATCTGTCCCCCCTCCACTCCAGGCAGCCCTGCCTTTGCAGGGGGCACAGCCTTGCCATTTGGACCCCTCCATCCCCTGTCCCCATGGTCAGATTCCTCAGGACAGTAGACAGGGGCACTTGGCCATTTTCCCTCCAGTCCTGGAGCAGGCAGGACACCCCCTGCCACCTAGAGTTGAAAATTCCCCTCTCCTTTCTTCCTCCCAGAACTCTCATATCTTCCCCATAACTTATAACAAAGCCTTGTCCTTGTTCCCTTGCATAATTCTCCTGCATCTGTCTCTGGAGACCAAGTGTGGAAAGCACTGACTGTGTAAGTGGTAACACGGGAGGCCAGACCTAACTGTGTACAGGTAGGTTCCTGTGGCCCAGCTAATGGGTGTGGAGAGGACATGACTTGATGGCTACAAGGACCGACTCCTAAATATTAAAGGTGTGTTTTGAGTTGAAATGATGCGGCCCAGGATAACAGGGGCCCGGGTGGGGACAGACAAGGAGGCTCATCCTTGCTGGTGGAACTGCTGCTCCCCCACCTCTCTGACCTGGAGTGGGCTGGTCATCCCTAGTGGACACCAGGAGTCCACACCTACACGTTTCGTCTCTTCTAATGGAGCAATTTACTTTAGAACTATTTGCTTTTAAAGTCCAGGACGAATCACCTACACAACATGTCTCACCTGGAGAGCATGCTCCTGGCACCCAAGTTTCTGGGCCTGAACACACAAGGAGCTTTAATTCTAGGATGGGACATGACCCTGAGCAGTTTGTGACATCTTCCTTAAGACTTTCAGTTTGTGGTCCAATATGTATGGAGCTTAGAGACCATCACTCTTGTCATCAGAACAAGAAAAAAGATGAACAAACTGAAAACCAACAATTCTTCTTAAATCCATCAGAGATTTGAGGTCAGAGGGCAAACTATCACCACCAAAACTGCAGACACAGCCGAATGCAGAGAATCACAGCTGAACAGAGCAGAGGCCTCTGCTGGAGGCAGGAGGCAGGATCTGGGCAGCAAATCTTAAACTGTAGCTGGTGAATTCTTCTAGAGGCTCAGTGTGGACCAGCTTGAGAGGGAAAAACTCCAGGGGGCCCAGTCTTATGGGGCCTCCACACCTTCATGAGTTTTACCTCCAGTAGCCCCACCACATTCTCAGGGTGAAGATCAAAGAAGACTCCTTCATGCTTCCAGCAGAGAGAGAAGAAAACTAACCATTTGGAAACACACCCAGAGCAGCCTGTTCTCCTGGAGACCGCTTTCCCTCAAGGAAACTGTTTTCCCAGAGCAAACACCTTGGCTTCTACCAGAGCATCACTGGCCTGGGGAAAGGAAATACCCTTGTCTAGTCCCTCCAACTTTCCATGGGGAGGAAGGGAAATACCCAACTCCTGCTCCCTCGAGCAGTCTCTCACCTAATGAGGAAAAAATCTGAGAAGCACTTGTACAGGTCAAATCCCAGGGACTCAGGCCCCCTAAAAGCCTGAGATATAATCATACAACTATAGGACACTCCTCCTCCCCCTACACCTTCCCACGGCATCAACAGGGCTCCTGGATCAAAACGGGATTTTTTTTTTTAATTTTTTTTTATTGAGTTATTGATAGCTTACAATCTTGTGAAATTTCAGTTGTACATTAATGTTTGTCAGTCATGTTGTAGGTGCACCACTTCACCCTTTGTGCCCACCCCCCACCCCACCTTTCCCCTGGTATCCACTAAACTGCTCTTAGTCCATAATTTTAAATTCCTCATATGAGTGGAGTCATACACAGATTATCCTTCTCTCGCTGGCTTATTTCACTTAACATAATTCTCTCAAGGTCCATCCATGTTATTGCAAATGGAATGATTTTGTTCTGTTTTGCAGCTGAGTAGTATTCCATTGTATATATGTACCACATCTTCTTTATCCATTCGTCTGTTGATGGGCACTTAGGTTGCTTCCCTGTCTTGACTATTGTAAATAATGCTGCAATGAACATTGGGGTGCATAGGACTTTTGGGATTGCCGACTTCAAGCTCTTTGGATAAATACCCAGTAGTGGGATGGCTGGATCGTATGGTAGTTCTATTTTTAGTTTTTTGAGGAATCTCCATACTGTTTTCCATAGTGGCTGCACCAGTTTGCATTCCCACCAGCAGTGTATGAGGGTTCCTTTTTCTCCGCAACCTCTCCAACATTTGTTGCTATTAGTTTTAGATATTTTTGTCATTCTAACGGGTGGAAGGTGATATCTTAGTGTAGTTTTGATTTGCATTTCCCTGATGATCAGCGATGATGAGCATCTTTTCATGTGCCTATTGGCCATCCGTATATCTTCTTTGGAGAAATGTCTGTTCAGGTCTCCAGCCCATTTTTTGATTGGGTTGTTTGATGTTTTGTTGTTGAGTTGCAAGATTTCTTTATATATTAAGGATATTAAGCCTTTGTCAGATATATGACTTGCAAATATTTTTTCCCAGTTAGTGGGTTGTTTTTTTGTTTCAATCCTGTTTTCATTTGCCTTGAAGAAGCTCTTTAATCTGATGAAGTCCCATTTGTTTACAAAATGGGATTTCAATGGGAAGAACTTCCAGTCTCAGATCTGACAGAAGAAGTATCAAGGGAAACCCAGAGAGAACAGGGCGGAGAAAATACACAACACAAACCCTGCAAAAATCAAAGGACCTCAGAGGAAATCAGAGCTTCTGAAACCTGATGGAGCAGCAAACAGTAAACATGGTTTAACTCCTAGAACATCAAAAGTTCATGCTTAAGGCCTATTTACCTCTGTTGTTCATACTCAATGCATCATGTCCAGCTTTGAGCCAAAAATTACAAGGTATACTAAAAGGCAAAAAAACAGTTTGAAGAGACAGAGCAAGCATCAGAAGCAGACTGGGATGTGACAGAGATTTTGTAATTATTAGACTGGGAATTTAAAATAGGTATAGTGAATATGCTAAGGGTTCCAATGGAAAAAGTGGACGACATGCAAGAACTGACGGCCAGTGTAAACAAAGAGAAGGGAATTCTAAAAAAGAATCCACAGGAAATGGTAGAAATAAAAAACAATGCAACAGAAATGGAGAACATTTTTGATGAGCTCATGAATAGACTGGACACGACCGAGTAAAGAATCAGTGAGCTTGAAGATATGTCTACACAAACTTCTCAAAATAAAAAACAAGAGAAAAAAAGACTGAAGAACATACACAAAAATATCCAGGAACAGTGGGACAATTATAAAAGGTGTAACATCTGTGGAAAGGGAATACAAGAGGGAGGGAGGGAAGGAAGGAAAGAAAGAAGGAAGGAGGGAAGGAGCGGAAGAATATTTGAAGAATAATGGATGAAAATTTTTATTTAATATCAAATCACAGATCCAGGAATCTCAGAGAATACCAAGCAGGATAAATACCAAGCGATCAACATCTTTCTAAGTCTTATCCAACCTTTAGAAAATCAAAGACAAAAAGAAAATCTTGAAAGAAGACAGAGGGAAGAAAATCTTACCTGTAGAGAAACTAGTATAAGGATTATATTGAATCTCCCTTCACAAACCATGCAGACTAGAGAGTGGAAATACTTAAAGTGTTGAAAGAAAAAACTCCACCAACAAAAACTCCCAACATGGGGTTTTTACTCATCAAATCTCTCCTTCAAAATGATGAGAAATAAAGACTTTCTAAGATAAATAAAAACTGAATTTATCCCCAGCTGACCTGGCTTGTAAGAAATGTTAAAAGAAGTTCTTCAGAGAAGGAATATGATGCAGGTCAGGAACTTAGATCTAATGAAGGAAGGGTCCAGAGAAGGAATAAATGAAGGTAAAATAAAACAGTATTCAGTTTTTATTTTTCTTATTCTCATCTAACAGATTCAGTTTGTTCAAAATAATAATTGTAAAAATACCTTTTGTGAGAATAGTTCATGGACAAGTAAAGTGTAGGAGAGCCATTTTATATGGGAAGCCTGTTATAAGGGATCTGCACTAACCATGAAGAAACACAGTGTCATTTCAAGGTGAACTGAGGTTAGTTGTAAATTTATATTGTAAGCTCTAGAGAAACCATTTAAAAACTTTAAAAGCAGTATTACTGATACACTAAAAGAAAAGAAAAAATGGAATCATATAAAATGCTCAATAAAAACCAGAGAAGGCAAAAAATAATTTAAAAAGTGGAAGACAGAAAAAAGAAAGAACAAGGACAATGAATAGAAAACAGTTGCAAATATGGTGGATATTAATCCAACTATATCAATCATCTCCTTAATTAAGAATGGTCTAAATACAGCCATTAAGAGACCGAGACCATCAGAATACATAAAAAAAAATAAGACCCAACTATACGCTGTCTACAGAAACCCACTTTAATTATAAAGACAGATAGGTTGGGAGTAAAGGGAAAGAACAAGATAAGCCAGGCTAACACACATCCAAAGAAAGGTATTAATTTCAGACAAAGCTGACTTCGGAACAAGGAAAATTCTAAGGAACAAAGAGAGGCAGCCCATAATGTTAAAGGGGTCGATTCTACAAGAAGACAACAGTCCTCAACATACATGCATCTAACAACAGAACATCAAAATATGTGAAGAAAAACTGATCAAACTGCAAGGAGAAATAGACAAATCCACCACTATAGCACTAAACACTGCTCCAGCAGTAACTGATAGATGCAGCAGGCGGAAAATCAGTAAGGATGAACTGAATGATGTCATCCATCTACTGGATCTAATTAACATTGATAAAACACTGCATCCAATGAAAGCAGAATACACAGTCTTCAAAAGCTCACACGCAACATTCACCACACAGATGACACCACCCAGCTAAAAAAAAACATCCCACACCTCAGCAAATTTAAAACAATATAAATCAAATAGAGTACGTTCTCAGACCAAAAAGGACTTTAAAGTAGGAAACCAAAATAGAAAGATAGCGGGACAATCCCAAAATATCTGCAGATTAAACACCACATGGAGCAAAAAAAACAGTCTCAAGAGAAACTGCAAATATCTTCCACTAAATGAAAATGAATATACGACCAATCAAAATGTGTGGAATGCAGTGAAAGCAGGACCCAGAGGGAAATTCATAGCATAGAATGCACATATTAGAAAAAAGAAAGATCTGAAACAACAAGCTAGAGGATGAAGAACAAAGGAAGAACAAAAGAGAGGAAATAATAAAAATTACAGCAAAAATCAATGACACTGAAAAACAGTAATTCAATAGAGAAATCGATAAAACCAAGACTAGTTCTTTGAAAAGATCAAAAGACTGGATAAACCTCTATCCAGGCTAACTGAAAAAAAAGAGAGAGAAATGTAAATTGCTAATATTAGAAATGAGAGCGGGACTATGATTACTGATCCATGAACATTAAAAGGATAATAAATATTTGAACAGGAAAATCATATCTTCCCTGATGAGTTCTTTTGGATCTATAGCAAATCTTGAAATGAACATTTCAAGATTCAAATCTTTCCCCGACCCTTTCATATTTGCCTTTTAATTTATATAATCAAAATATTGATGAGGATATGATTTAATGTCTAAATGATTTCCAACTCGTAAGACTCTATTGTGCATAAATTGGACACCACTAAAATGTAAAACTTTCTGGATCCATCGGACACCGTTAAGAATGTGAAAAGACAATCCACAATAAAGAGAAAAATTTGCAACTGATATACCCAATAAGAAATATACCTAGAATATATAAAGAAGTGTTACAACTCAGTTATTTTTTTAAAAATCCAATTTAAAAATGGGCCAATGAGCTGAACAGACATTTCTCCAGAGAAGATATACAAATGGTCGTTAAGCACAGGAAAAGATGTCCAACATCATGAGCCATCAGAGAAATATCAATCCAAACCACAGCGAGATATCATTTCCCACCCATAGGACGGCTATGATCAAAAAGACAGATGGTAAGTGGAGAAACTGGAACCCTCACACACGGCTGGCAGGAAGGTAAAATGGTGCAGTCACTTTAGAAAAAAGTCTTCTGAGTATTCAAATAGTGAAACGGAGAGTTACCATCTGACCCAGCAATTCCACTCTTAGTTATAAACCCAAAGAAATGAAAGCAGATGTCTGTGCAAAGACTTATACAACAATGTTCACAGCAGCATTATTCATAATAGCCAAAAAGTGGCCACAATCCAAATGTTCCTCAACTGAGGAAAGGAGAAATACACTGTGCTACAGCCGTACAATGGATATTATTCAGCAATCAAAAAGAAAGAAAAGGCTGACACATGCCACAACATGGACAGACCTGGAAACCATTATGCTCAGTGAAGGAAGCCAGACGCAAAAGGTCACATTTTATATGGTTCCATTTATATGGAATGTTCAAAATAGGCCCGCCCATAGAAATGTAAAGTGAATTTGTGTTTGTCTAGGCCTTAGAAGTGAAGGGAAATGGGACTGTCTCCTAATGAGGAAGGTGTTTCTTTTGGAGGGATGACAGAAAGCTTCCAGAATCGATTGTGGTGACATTGCACAATTCTGTGAATACACTAAAAAACCCTGAATTGCACACCTTCAAGTGTGGCTTGTATTGTATGTGAACTACATCTTACTCAAGCTGTTACAATGAATAAGACTGAATTATGCACGGTCAACATAGAAAGTAACCCTCAGAAGGGAGTATAGAATCTTGCTTACTCACTTTAAAGGATCTGAACTAGGGCAAGAAAAACCCAGAGGAATTCCATTAGTTAACCTTCTAGGTATCAGGACATCCTGAAATATTCATGAGGATTTCCATGTTTTAATTTGAAGAAAAAAGGCATCTAAGGCTTAAAAACACATATTCACAAGTGTCAAAAAGAATCATCATCACCCAGGGGGAGGGGAACACAGGGGAGTCATCAAACAGAAAGAGGTGTAAGAGTCTGGGTCACATGGATGTGCACCCTGAATATGAAAGTGGACCCAAATCCATCACTGCTCCACCCCCAAAGATGACGTCAAAGTCAAACAGCCCAGTAAACAATATCTCTTTCAAAAGCATCAGTTCGTGAAAAACTAAAATATTAAGAAATAAATACTTTGCAATAACAAGGAATTGATTCTTCCAGATTCCCAGTTTGAAAACTAAAAATTTCTGAAGATTCCATTTCACAGGCATTGGAGTGACTCTCCTCCTTGTGGCTGGAGTGGATTCCAGAAGAGACAGATGCCTTCAGGCTAAAACTGAAAAGAATCCAACAGTGTTTGCAAAAGGCTATTTGTTGCCCCTGAATCTAATGCTAAACTCTACATAAGAAGATAGACATAAACATGGTTCAGCGCAACCAGCAGGCAGAGCAACGAAGGATCATGAAAACTTCAATACTTCTGCAGTGACATTTCAGGGCTTGTGTCTATTAAAATTCATCAGGCTTTAATGTACTTTTCATGAGTGATCAAAAACAAAGACATTCACATTTGTCAAAAAGGTGTGTTCCTTGATGCCAATCTTTGTCCCCCTTCCGATCACATGACCATCACCGACCACAATACACTCCCCTGGGTGCACACCTCTCACCAGGACCAAGGTGCCTGAGGTGCTGGTGCCACAGAAGTTGCAGCTACTTAGCCAGGGGACACCTCCAACCACGGCCTCCTCCACTTTTGTCCTGGCAGGTCAGGAGGGCCCCCAACCCCAATCCAGCCTTGGGGCTCTCAGGTGGCTGTCATGACAAAGTCAAGGTTTAATGACTTTGGGGGCCTAGAGTCACCAAGTATGAATGCATAAAGAAGCTGCCCTCTACTCACATTATGATCATATCAAAGGACATTCTTGACATTAAAAAGGAAGGATGCTGTTTCTAGAATAAAGGACAGACTATCCCGCGAAATAGCATTTGTCAAGCTTCTCCTGACACGTGTGTGTACATAACATATAAATCACACTCATCCCCACATTTCTGAGGGGTTTCCTCCTCTCTAAATGGAGAGACGAGAAACCTCCCTCCCAGGGGTGTGGTAAGAATTCAACACAGAGAAAGTGTTGGATCCAGCCCCAGCACAGAGTGAGAGGGAAGAAGTGTCAGCTGCTTGATTCTCACACACACGCCTCCTCCGGGCCTTGATCTGGTCATTGCCCTTCATCAGGGAAGACTGCATGGGCCAGCCTGAAGCAGAGCCCGGCCGTGGGAACCAAGCCTTGGAGAGAGCAAGGTGGGGATACCAGGTCACCAGGCAGGGGGGTGCTCCTGGATCTGCAACTCAGGGGCCCCAAGGCCTCATTTGTACAAGGCAGCTCGGGTCCATTGTGCACACCCACCTGAGCGCTGACCTGCTTTGTACCAAGCACAGCGCTGGGGGCCATGATTGGGAGCAAGACAGCTCCTGCCCCCAGCAACGTCAAACCCAGGGAAAGGAGAACCAATGACGTCCTCAGATAACCAGTGATCGCTGACCTAGTGCTTCTTATAGAGGTTTAAATAGAAACATGAAGCAGGGCATTTGAAACATATTCAAAAGGAATTGGAAAAACCATAAAAAGGAAATCATCTAGCTAAGTGAGCATTTCAGATGCTCATTCAACTTGCAGACATTGTTGCTGTGACCGTTGCTAGGAGGAGGCAAAACCCTGCGAAGAAGCTGGAACAGCAGCATGTGCTTTATCTCCTGAAGCGGGGGAAGCATTTGCTTGTGGAAATCTTGGCAGGACACTCGTGACCTGTGAAGGCTGCCGGCTGAGTGTGCAGTAGAGGCAGCAGAACAGAACCACTGCGTGAGGGAACCAAGCGCACTGGCAGGAAACTCCACCCAGAGCGGGGGCCGTCATTACCTCTCCCCAAACTACCTGTTACACAATCTGACCTTCACCCAACAGCTCCCCTGAGGGGTCACTTTATTTATGGAGATGCATGCGAGCACCACGTGCTTCCAGTTCTGGAACAGCAAGATGTCGACTGACCCACACATATCAGGACCCAGCCTTGGTCCTGCTACCCTGCAGGTGCCCTGGTGCTCAACAGTGTGCCTACCTTGATCTGCCGGAAGCCAGTGGTGACAGTAGCAGCTCCTGAGTGGTGTGTGTGACATGTGGACACAAACAGTTCAGCAAATGGCATGAAAACTGCACTGAGACTAGAACTGTTCACAAAAGGCAGGACAGAATGTGCAGCGTGACATTCACTGTGCTGATCACCCAATAAAACGAGAAAAAGAAAAATGAACATTCTTTAGAGGATTTTAATAGAAACCAGGGTCTCATAACATAATGAGTAAACTGTCCAGCATTCCATCCAAAATTATACAACATAACACACAAAGAACAAGAAAATCAGACTGTTTCTCAAGAGAAAAGACAATCAACTGATCCAGCCCTGAAATGAAGGAATTATCAGACAAAGCAGCTGTTATAATCATGCTCAATGTAGCAAGGGCAAATATCCTTGAAATTCACGGAAAGAAACAAGTTCTCAGCAGAGCAATACACAATAGGCAAAAGCAGCAAGTGGAAATTTTAGAACTTAACATTCACTATTGAAAGTAAAAATTCACTAGATAGGCTCAATAACAGGAGGCAGAAAACAGAGGAAAGATTCGTGAACTTAAAGACAGAGCAACAGAAATGGGACAATCTGAAAAACAGAGAAAAAAGATTAAATAAAAATTCACAGGGCCTCAGAAATGTGCAGGACATCAAAAGTTTTAATTTCCATGCCACTGGAGTTCCTGGATGAAGGAGAATGGTGCAGAAGAAAACATAAGGGGTCGGCCCCGTGGCCAAGTGGTTAAGTTCACACACTCTACTTCGGCAGCCCAGGGTTTCACTGGTTCGGATCCTGGGCACGGACATGGGACCACTCATCAAGGCATGCTGAGGCGGCATCCCACATGCCACCACTAGAAGGACCCACAACTAAAAACATATAACTATGTACCGGGGGTGCTTTGGGGAAAAAAAGAAAAAATAAAAATCTAAAAAAAAAAAAACCTTTAAAAAAAAAAGAAGAAAACATAAGAGGGGAAAAGGGCTGAAAACTTCACAAATTTGTGAAACACATCTAAGAAGCTCAGAAAACCCTCAACCTGACACATCATTATCAATCTGCTAAAAATCAAAGACAAAGAAAAATCTTGAAGACAGTCAGAGAAAAATGACATATACAAAAATACATCAATTTCAAGGTCTATGATTTCTCTTCAGAAAACAGAGCATAGAAGAGACTGGAGTAACATCTTTAAAGGACTGAAAGAAAAGATCTATCAACCCAAGATACTATGTGCAGAAAAGATATTCTTAAAGATTGAAGGCAAAACAAAACAAAGGTTGATGAAGATGAAAGGAAACTAGGAATAAAATGATGGGAAAGGAGCTTCTTCAGGCTACAGGGAAATGATACCAGAGGGAAGCTGGGAACTTCAGGAACAAAGGAGGAGCCACAGAAGGGGAAGGATGGGGATGGAGGAGACAGCCGATTTCCTCTTCCGACAGTCTTTTGATATACGCGTGACTTTAGAAGGAACAAATTCTACCACAGGCTCGGGGAGTGCCATTCAATTCATGTTGACGTGATTCATACGACAACTCCAACAGGAGAAACAGAGGGGAGAAGAACATATATTGCCGAAAGGCTTCTATATTTTACTTTTGTCAAAGCAAAACTTGCACCCAATGAAGTTAAACAGGCAAGGACCTTGTTATTCAAGACTGTTGCAGGGCTGGCCTGGTGGTGCAGCAGTTGAGTGCACATATTCAGCTTCAGCGGCCCGGGGTTCACGGGTTCAGATCCTGGGTGCAGACATGGCACTGCTTGGCACACCATTCTGTGGTAGGCGCCCCACATATAAAGTAGAGGGAGATGGGCATGGATATTAGCTCAGGGCCAGGCTTCCTCAGCAAAAAGAGGAGGATTAGCGCAGTTAGCTCAGGGCTAATCTTCCTCAAAAAAAAAAAAAAAGACTGTTGCCATAAGGACTCAGTCTGAGCTCAACTTCACTGAAGCAAAAGGTAGGAGAGTTTGCAAATGCTGAGGGGAGGCTGATCTCTGGGGCGTGCGCCGCACATGCAGTCACTCCTGAGGTGGCCGTGGTCTTTCTGTGACTAGGACATCTGTGCTGGCTATTCAGTACCCATCAGGGTTAAGCTCCTGCCCTCCGACAAGACAGGGAGTTGGGACACCATCTTCCATGATGATTCCACCTCAAAGGGATGGCTCCCAGCTCCTTGAGACAGACATCCCTGGGTTGTAAAACTGGCCAAAAGTTTTTTAAATATTTACATCTCAAAGGGGCAGAGAAAGTATTTACAACGACAAATTTGTTTTTCTTTAATCACAGCCCCCCCGACACACATAGTTGTATATTCTAGCTGTGTAATTCTAAGTGCCTCTGGTTGTGCTATGTGGGACGCCACCTCAGCAGGGCCTGATGAGCAGTCTCATGTCCGTGCCCAGGATCCGAACCAGTGAAACCCTGGGCCGCCGAACTGGAGCATGCAAACTTAACCACTTGGCCATGGGGCCAGCCCCACAAATTTCCTAAAGTAAATGCTTTAAGAAAAAGGAGGGCAGGTGCCTGGAGCCAGGAAGAAGTCTGACTAAAGTTGAGTCAAGCTGAGGGGAAACTTAAGGTCATCTTGTCACTTGAATTGGCACAATATTAACTCTAGTTAGACCATGAAACAATTAATACACAGTGTTCTTTCCAGAACACAACTAAAAGAGAATTAAAGCTTACCCATGAAAAATTAGAAAACCTCAATAGTCCTATATTTAGAAAATATGAATGAGGCAGCCAAAACATTTCACATATAGGTTTTTGTGAGAACATAAGTTTTGTTTCTCTTGGTTAATTTCTTAGGAGTGGGACTGTTGGGTCATTAGAATGTCCCTCCAGGCCTCCCCTGGCCTCCCCTTGTGTCACCCCTGCAGGATATGGGCGGTGTGGGCACTTCGTTCTTAGCGGCTCTCCTCTCCAGTGTTCCCAGGGGAAAGGGCAGGAGAACGCACAGGTGCTGATCCCAAAGCTGCCACCTGGAGCAGGGGCTGCTGAACCAGAAGCACTGCTCCCTAGAAGTTCCCTCTCTGCTGGATAGAGAAACGCGTCCTGGACTGCTCCCTGACAGTTCTGGGGTCCCGCCAAAGGTAAAGGGGCCAATGCCTTGCCAGTAAACTCATTACCCACGAGGTAAATACCTCCAACACTCAGCCCCCAGGAGATCCAGAAGTGCCCGAGGCTCCGGTGTGGATCCTCACCTTTGCTCGCCCCAGAAACTCGCGCATTCTCTGCGCATGCGTCCTTCCCTCCAGAATCTTTGCGCGCGCGCCCACCCCTCGCGGCCCCGTGCACGCGCAACCGTCCCTCGCGGCCCCGCGCACGCGCGCCCGATCGTCCCTAACGCCTTCCAAAGCCGCACCTCAGCAAAAGGCCAAACGGTGCGCACTTGGCCTTTGGCCCAGTAGCCAGCTGAAGGAGAAGGCTCCGAGCCCAGGTCTCTGTCGAGGGGCAGAGCTCGCCCAAGTGCTCTATGGGCGGTTACCTGGGCAGACTGTGCCCCTCCCTCGCTTCCCGGGCATCAGGGGACAGCACCTACCAAGAGGACTCCGCCGCATCCAGCGCCTTCACCGCGCCCACCAACTTCCCTCGGCCAACCTGGGTCACCCAGCTGTCCATGCCCGGCCATCCACTCACAGGCCATCCTACAGGTATCCAGAGACTTCGCATCTGTGCTTTTTCAAAGCAACTCCCAGACAATCTGCCATGATCCGGCAAGGCCTGTGCTCCTTTCTGGGGGTCCTTACATCAATCTGTAGGCATGGCCATCAGAGGAAGGCAGAGCTGTCCGCTGACACCTCCAAGATGTCTTGCAGCTCAGAATCTGCGGTGGGCAAAGACTCTCTGTGTGGTCTGGGAGCAGGGAGACCAACCCATGCCGCCCATGACACCCAGGTGTGTGCAAGACTCCTGCACAAAGAAGACTGTGTCAGGACCCTGGAAGAGAGCAGGAAAGGGATGGCCAAGCAGGAGGAAGACCCCACAGTCACAGAGAGGTAGGACGATCAGGGGAGGGGCCCTGATGACTCTAGGGGTGCACCGTCTGCATTTAGGCCCCTTGGGGTCCAGGGAGGCCTCTCTTCCTACATGCCCAAGCCTGGACCTCTGCAGAGAAACCTCCACACCATGAGCTCAGAAGATGGATCCAACCAGAAACCCCAGACCTCTTGTATGAGCTCCTGCTACGAAGGAAATCCCATCAGAAGCTCACACAGCTCCTGTGGGTTCCTGCCAGGGCAGAGGAGGAGGAGTCCGGCCACATCCCACACCCGGCTGCCCCAGAGGTCCTCAAAGAAAGTGAGCGAGAAGCCCCCTCAGTCTCCCTCTGCGGCTTCGGTGCTTTCCCAGGGGAAGACCCAGCATGGAAAGGACGCAGAGACAACAACAGGGCGGAAACAAACCCGGAGGTACTGCTCACCCACATCTGACAGTTCCAGGCCCCGAAAACACAAGATTCCTCTGCTGTCACATAGAAGAGGGGACCCTCTGAGGCTGCCACCACCCCAAGTTGGGTTTTTGAGTCGCTGCTGCAGACACAGACTCGCAGAAAGAAACAGCACTCCAGTGCATAGAGAGCATTGCAGGGTGAGAGTGAGGCCCTCCGGGACGGTGGCCCCACACAGCCGTCCTGTTCTGTCCCCCTGCCTGCTGCTGAGACTGCTCCTCCCCCAGCTGGCCCGCCAGCCCCCAGCATGACTCCACAGCCGGAGAAACGCAGGGAGACCCAGGTCTCCCTGGGCCCAGTGGGCATCCTGGAATCTGCTGGTGTGGCTACCTTCGTGCATCCTTTGACTTGGAGGAAGCGCAGTTCACCAAGCCCCCCCCTGCTCCCTGTCAGAGCCCCTCCCAGGCTCCTCTTCACACTCGCTGCCCTCAGCCCGGTTCTTGCTGACCCCTACCTCCTCCCCAGGATCAGGCAGGGCTGACCTGTCTGCTAGGCCCCCAAACCCCTGGGCCCCTGTTCCCTCCCCTGAACCAGGCTTGCAGTATGCAGTCAGAAGCCCAACTTCTGAATGGCCCGCCCTACAGCTGCTGCAGGGTCCCCTCCCCGCTTCATGTTGAAGCCCATCTGGGGGCCCCCTCTGAATGGGGGGGAGGCCATTTGCAACCCAAGACCTGGGTCCCAGCTGCAGCAGAT